GAGAGAGAGAGAGATGAAAAAGACGAAGTGGGCAAAGTCTACTATCGGGCGTCCCACTGCGAAGGGAACCCCGGAGGCCGGAGTTTATTAGTTCAACCCCCGGTTAGCGATGGCAGTGACGTCGTAACGCGTATAAAAAGAGTGTCATCAACTACAAAAATTAATAAGGCATAAATACGGGAGGGTGAAGCGCACAATACGTTGATGCGGCGTAGTCGACACGGTACACTGAAGGTTGTTGATTTCAACAAACGCAAAAGGTTAACTAAATGCCAAATGTTGCACTTACTCGATACTAAAATAATAAAGCGATAATCCGAAGAAATTAGTTGTAAACACGATGGTGCGTCGACATCTGCCAGAAAATCATAATTTCCTCCGAAAAAGAACGTCATACTCGTCTCGTAAAAAGTAAAGGCATTTTACTTAACAAACTTTATTGTTTTGGCATTAGAACAAGATTGCGTACGTTTGTAATCGATTTATCACGAGCAACTCCAATCCATTCCTACCAAAAGGGTGTCCCACCGAGATCCCCTCTCCTTCCGCAGCTCTAACAACATGGAACTCGGAATACGGAAAACATATAGGGGCGCCTCCAGCCATATAAACGAAGTGTTTCTCTATCATAACAGGGACAGAGAAATAAGCGGGGCCCCCTTCAGGAAGTGGAAGAGGGGAACGCGGGAGAAGAAATAAGAAAGCAGCTATTTGCACACCGCGAGCGGTCAGACGACTTGGTTTGTGCCACCCCTATCGGCAGATGTCGGATGTCTTTCCGACACGGGACTGCATACAGGTTTCCCGCTTCTACTCAGTCATCTCTTTTTTGCGTGTTTTCAAAATGGCAGAAGTACAAAGTACTTAAGGGCGTGAGCCGTTCGTTTCACGCCTGACCTTTTCATCGCAGGTCCAGATGTGAGGATGAATGTGACGGATCTTATGCATGAATCTGTAAAATTCGCCGGAGTAGGAGGAAGTAACATCGAAACCGGTCGTTTTCGGTCTGCACAATTATCTTCTCGCGGTTGTCAAGAAGCGCGATAATGAAAGATAAACACACGTAACGGGATTTTAAATGAGAACTCGAGAGTCAAGCGACGAATACGAGCCCCTAGAGACTATATATCGAAATGTTAAAGAGAAAAGCTTTCGCGATCGCTCGATTGATGGTTCCGATGAATATCGCATGTTTCCGCAAAACAAAAGTTTTGCCGCGAAAAACAAAGCCATTTATAACCAAATCGAAATTTTACTCCTACTTTCGACCGTACTTAGTTTAGTAGTTTTAAGATTTATAAGTTTTGAAAAATCAAGTTAGAGATTCATTTCATCCATTTTATTTAGAGATTCATTTATGAATTAAACTCCTACTTTGCACTTTGTGAAATAAGCAGTAAACAATTTTCTATTTTGGTGTTCAAAAGAGGAGTTTTCGATTATCTTATTCAATAGAATTCTGTGATGCGAAATAAGAATTGCAAGTATTAAATAATATCAAAAGATATCGACTTAATTGAAAAAAGTATGAAAACATATAAAAATCCTAATTAATATCGAAAGTATAAAAAATTTCAACTTGTATACTCATCTGCTCTCATCAGCTTCGACAAGTCAAATAAAATATTAATGTCGATCAAACATTCACCGATTGAGAGGGAAAATCTGTAAATAGTGTAAACAAGGAAATTCGTGTGCATTGCGCGACAAAATCACGCGTCAAATAGAACGTACCTCAAACAACATACATGGCACTAATTTAATCCCTCTAATCGATCCGAATCGTGCGGATGCCGCACGTGACCGATTATTTTCGAGAGAAAACGCGGTTGACGCGCTTTCCCTCGGAAACGCGCGCAGCAACAATATCGAAAACCAATAATCAACGACAAATGTTGCTCGACGCTTATCGGTCCCCTCGCCCTTGCACGGCCTACATACGGTCCGATCTTCCAGCGATGTAGTTTACACTCGGCCTCGATTAGATTACACGGGGCAGAGCAACAGGCAGATGTGGTATTAATCCCCGACGCAATTTATCGCGCTCGCGCCGCCTGAAAGAGTAATTCGATATCGTCGTTGGCGAACATCACGCTTACCCGCTCGCACCTTCGCATTTCGCTCGTGCAAATTCGCTATTCGCGCTGGCGATTTATGGGAAGCTAAATGATCGGCGATTATATCGCGCCGATAAGAAACGTGAGAAATATGCGCACGATGCTCTCTCGGTCGACATTAACTTTCGAGGGATAACAACGTGAGTACAATTACCTTATTTCAAAAAATTGCGAAATTTGCTTGCATTCCTCATGTTAAAACAAGACTCATCAATTTGGCAAATTATGCGATATCATTTAAAAGTGTCGCGTCGTTCAAAAGATTCGCTGCTAAATCCAAGGGTGAAGACGTGAACTCTTTCGTGTGAAAATTTTTGCCCAAGACTTGCTGGATCGCTGAAATTCGAATTTCATCTTCCACTTGCTTGTTCGTTTTTCACTTTCCTCCTTCTTTCTTGGACAATCATTCGTTTGGCGATCGAGTAGCGACCAAAAAATTTTTCGACGTGCGATTATATTTCGACAAAAATAAATCGAGAAGAGGGCTCCGAGTTCGTGACCAGAATAACGTCCAAGCCTCTTTCGTACCACCGGTACATGCAAGAACAAAAAGTCCGAAATCCGATTCGAGCAACACCGGCACCGGAGTTGGCGGTCCTCGACTTCGCGTTTGGATCCGACACTCCGCATCGCTTCTCTCACGACGAGACACTCCGAGAAGCCACCGTGGCGAGGTGATACAACCGAAAAATCGCGCTTTGTGACTATCTCATACGAGAAAGCAAACTGTGAAACAGACACATAACCTCTAGGGTCTAGGAAATGAGTTAAACAAAAGGTAAATACTGCCAATCAGAAACGCTAGCAGCGAAAATCAGCAATAAACCTGAAATTGACGCTAAAGATTATGTTTAACTACGGATAACAACTGCGAGAAATAATATTTAGTCAAATCGAATCTGAATAATGAGATAAGACACGAACGCAATTTCTTCATGAAATTCGAATACGAGAGATACACGACTGCTCACTTTTTTGCATGGTTGCGATTAAATGTGGAATTTAATTATTTCGATTTCATGCGAAATATTACTAACATAACAAGTACATCTTACGTTTCTCTCAACGAATTATAGTTTTTCCTATTGGAGAGAAAATTCCACGAGTGGTTATTTCACAGCGTATTTCGATATCCGCATGGTGCGGCTCTTCATAATCAAACTGAAAATTCGGAATAATTTTATTGAAGAAATAGCACAAGTATGGTTAATCGTCGTAATTTAATTAAACCGGATAGGAACGCGTCTCAGCATGCGTTTCTGGTTTTTTCTTTTGCTTTTCTCGCGTTGCGTTGTTTTATCCATCGTAAATGCCAATGTGCGCGATTGTAATGAAAAAGTACGCAAGTGTTCGCTTCAAATAAATCAGTGAAACTACGTAATTAAAATCTTCTTTACGACCGTCACTTGCTCTATAATCATATCATCTCGATATCATAAAGCAGATCGGAAATTTCCTCAATCTCTGGGCAAGTACTTTCGGCTCAATATGAACTTCATTAACTGAAAAGTACAAAAATAAAGAAAATAAAAAAAAGATAATATCACACGCATTATGGTTACTTTTAGAAAATTTACTTTTTATAAAAAAAGTCGCCAAGTGTATGCGTAGTGTGTATGTGAGGATTATTATGAAGGATATAAAAGTGTTACTTTTTAATGGAAAACAAGTTTTTCAATTACTAACACAAATTATATCTTTTTAAAAGATTTGATAATGAACAAAATTATGTCATCTTACTGATGTTCAATGATAATATATATAATATATACTACTCACTTCTAATAACATGTATCATTTGTATAAAATATTTAATATAAAAAAAGGGGCGCCAAGTTACATTATTTGAAAGTTCAATCTTTTTTAAAAAAGAAGAATAAAATTTGACACATATTTTTCCAAGAATTTTTCTGTTTTAGTTCAAAATTTTTCAATTTAATTCAGAAATTTTCTGTTTATATTACAAAATTACGTAATCTTATGTATAATGTTCAAATAATATATAATGTAATATAAAATTCAATTCTAATAATAAGTATCATTTGTATAAAAGATTTGATATCAAAAAATGGTGTCATAATAATCCTTCACATACACATACACACTGTGTGTACAGTTGGCGACTTTTTTACTTTTTTATAAAAAGTAAGTTTGTTGTGATATCATTTATTTTGTTGTGTTAAATATTTTATAAATGATATATTTATGCTAAAAGATTGCAAAAAGATTGCGAAAGAATTGCGGAATGGTTGCAGAGATATGCGGAAAGATTACGGGAGGATTGCGGAATGACTGCGAAAGTATGCGGAAAGATTGCGAAACGGATGCGGAAATATCCGGAGAGATTGTGGGAAGAGAGATGATATGCAGAGAGATGATGAAATTATATAACATTCATATTTGGCGCTGAGGACTTCATCGGCACCGCCGCGTAGTGGCGAAAATTGCAACCGTAGCCTATACGAGGGCGACGACAATAATGTCAATGACGACGTTTCTTAAACGTAAATTTCTAGGTCTTTCGGACTTTGGATCGTAATATCTCCACTCATACGACACGGAGAGGAAAATTAAAAACACTTTCGTTATATAATTCGAACTTAAGCTATCGATTGCGCCTATTCAGAAATTGATCAGTTCAGCCGTTACTGAGAGTCAATAATTTTGATGGTCAGCAACTCGTTGGCTCGCGTAAAGATACACGGTCGGTCGCGCGCTCGTAAAGAGCTGGCGCTCACACTTGGCGACGAGTCACGATCGTGTCTTTCGATTACATAGTATTCGCATGAGGGTCCCTCATGTAACATAGGTCATAAATAAACGTTTACTAAATAGAGTTTTAAATAAAGACAGATGTTTAAATAAGCATTAATACCTATGTATAGTATAAAAACAATGAACAATTATGTACAACTAGTAATGAAAAATTATAATTTGCAACACCATTTTCTCTTTAAACGTTCGATGAAAAATGAGAAAACTTTAACGAACATGTGTGGCGAAATTGATATCCCTAAGTGTATACAGGCAATTTGATAAATATCCTGAAAATCGGAATGATTTTGCCTCAAGACTTTTCTTCACGAGCGAAGAGAAGAACTTGAAGCAGGGAAAAGGAACAGAAGGACCGAATATGCTTCGTCACGTGGCGCAGCCTAACTTGGCACTGTCGGCTCGAGTGATTTATTGCTCACATTCCCTTCGCCCCTTCAATCCTTGATATTTCAGTTGCACGCAATGAGTGAAAGAGAGAGAAAGAGAGAGAGAGGGATTTAATTCACTACATTTTTACGCGATATATTTAAAGTTACATAACAATCGAACATTTCGAGCCTTTTCACAATTTCATTTGAGATATCTTCGGGGCATCTCATTGAATTTTTCGCATCTGAAAAGAAGTCACCCCTTTTGTCCAAACCCAAGATCGCGTATACGACTTCCCTCAGTTTCCTTTACTCATATCCTTTCCCGCAATCTCTCGATTCTCTTTTTCCCTAAGTGTCTCAATGCTGAGCAGACGTACGCTTTGTCTTCTCCTTTTTCGCGTCTTGTCAAAGATCGCTCTTCAGATCCTCACGTTGCTGCTTTATGCGCCAGTAAGCTTTCTCTCATCATAAAGCTAAAGAGCTGCGACTTTTCCATTCAATTCCTCTTTTATATTTATCATGAATTTCATATGTACTCTTAGAAATCAAAGATTAGAGATGAAAATGTAGTAACGATGTTACTATAAAGTTTAATAGAATTTGAAAAAGGGATTATATATTGTTCTTTTTTTTCAAGCTTTGAATAATACACGAATTATATAATAGGTAGAAACCACTGTAGGTATGGATTTAATGAGATTACATTAATCACGGATAACCGTCAAACGTAGATAATAATTACGTAATGAGAATCGCGCAGAGCCGATTAGTGTAATTTCGAAATCGAGCGCGGTACTAATTATTTTCACGTATACGCGTTGATAGATAATGTATATCGATTGATATTTTTATTAAGCGCTCAGTGTTCTCTCGCATCGAAGCAGAATTAATTAACGACCTCGTATTCGCGCGTAAGTAAGAACGCCCGTACATATTAAAAGTAATGTTGAGACTTTGCAAGATACACTTTAATTGAGCGAGCCGGGATTAATTAACAAGATAGACATTCAGTACGCGTAAGCGTTTAATTAGTCTGTACAGACTCTTTCTCGTTGGGTAGACGCTGATTAACTGTAACGGTCTTTAACTTGGGCTGGAATTTGCAGTAATTAATTAACTCTGACCATCGACTCTTACTCGAAACGAGATGGATCTATAGAAAGAGAATTTTCATCCTGATTACATCTCTCTCTCTCTCTCTCTCTCTC